CGCAAAGGGGCCGGGGGAGGAGGTTTTAGGCCCGGGGGGGGGGGGGGTCCACATGCTGAATTCCATCAATAATTGCAGGCTGTGAGAACAAAGAGCAGCCAGGAGGGGGTAAAAAGTCCTGTGCTACAAGCCCAGGAACACTCCCGCATACTGCACCAAACCCACCTTACTCCACAGCCTCTTTCAACCCTGACTGATATTTACTGCTCTGGTTGAACCATGTAGCCACCTCCCTCAGCCTTTTGAAAGCACTAGGTGCACATGGAAAGAGGCAGTGACTAAAACCACGATCTTTGTTGGGTGGAGAGGAAGAAGTAGCATTTGATGCCTAGCCTTTGGTGCCAAGGCTTCCTAATGTGATGATGAATAGGAGCAAAATGGGCTCAAGTAAGAGTAGCAATTCTTGCTCTTACACGTAGGTCTGCTCTTACTCCTCTCCACTGCCCCTCACGCAACAGCTCACAATACTCAGTCTGCACCTTGCCGTATCCTCATCCAGACTGCTTCATGTGCCCCACACTCCTCCCTTTCCTGGTTCCAGGCAGAGGAATGGGGTGGGTATGCCACATAACCTACCAATCATGGACGATTCGAAGGTGCACAAAGGTGCAGCGACTAGCCTAATCAGAGTGAGCTGTGGTGGAACCTAGACTGGAGTCCCAGACCCCTGGTAGCTGCTACTGCACAAAGCTACTGCTCTGCTTCCTTTTGGAGGCAGAAGGGCATATTCATTCTGCAGACAACTTTCAGCAGAGGGGAAAAGGTAGCACTGGATGAGGAGTGGGGGCCAGGAGGGACCACAAACAAGAGGCCACTTTCTAGGAAGAAGCAGCCCTCCCATCCACCTGCTGATTCTTAGAAGGTCCTTAAACATTAGCAGCTGACTAGCATCCTAGATGCCAGCATCCTATAGCCTAAAAAGTCACATTTACTGGACTTTTCTCTAAGCAGTGTTCCTTCAGAATCCAGTCCTGGCAATTCAGGAGTATGTGCCCAGAGCTAAACAAATACTGAAGCACATCTTAGCTAATGTCATGTGCTGCCAAACCTGCTAGCAGTAAAGAGTTAAATAACAGGCTGAATTTTACCAAGAGCTTTGTAGCTACCATTGAGAAAAAGTGGTGGAAAAAGGAGGAAATGGGAAGAAACATGAGATCCTGCATTCAAGTCCATTCCCAAGGTTTCATCCAGTAGCTTCAAGGAACAGCTGTAGAGAATCCATTAAACAGGGACTTTATGGCCATGAAGCCTGTCCCTGTTGGGCCTGAATTGCAGTCCAGAATTCCCACCAAGCAAAGCCACCTGTGGAGCAGCCATGGAGATGGAACCAGTAGGAATTAGCTTGAACCCCAGTGTTTCAAAGCCACAGCTTGGCTCCCTTTGTGCACTAGCACGTTCACTTACAGTCCCAGAGGAAAACGAGGCAGCTCGGAGTCTGTGCTGGCGGGGAGAGTAAATCCAGTACCTCCCATCTGTGAACTGGATGGCACCAGGGCAAGTGAGATGAGAAAGGAAACAAAGGATGAATGAAAGAAAGGATGAAAGAAAAAGTAACAGAGGGAAAGGGCATCTCCAGACCTGAATGGATTAAATGGAGGGAAAGCCGTGCACAGAACCAGTATTGCCCCCTGGGCCCAGCCATGCTGATCTGCACCTTTATTCCCCTCCAGACTAGTGTGGGGATAAAGTGCATCCCCCCCACCACTTGTTGTCTTAAGCATTTAAAAGCAGATGTTTAGAGGCAAATATCTGGTACCTTGGGACTCCCTACCAATTCTCCTCTGGTCTCAGCATCCTTTCACCGACTATCCCAAAATGCACCCATTACCGAGCACCTGCAGTCCTGAGCTACAACATGCTCAGCTGCCAAGTCACCCAAGTTGCCACTGAAGCAGTTTTCCTAGGAGAGTGTCAGTGGGAACTAAAAGCAACTTTTCCCTTCAGTTAAGGTGAACACTGCACAACACACCACACACATTTGGAACTAAAGCACCTCAATGAGAGATGAAGTTAGGCTATTTGTGCACACTGCAAACAATCGATTAATTCCCCAGAAACTTAGTGAAATACATATGATCGGGGGGGAAGAGGGAGGAGGGGCGAACCCTGCTACAAGTCACTTCCTAATAAAGTGGACAGCATCTGAAGGAACTCACACTCAATTGTCACTCACAGGCAAACAGAGCAGCAAGGGTTAGAAAAAACTGCATTTTGAACAACATGCATCAAAATCCAAAAAGGTAATCTTTTAAAACCGAGCCGATTCCTTCTGCAACTCCCTTGAGCAAAGTTACTTGGCAATGAATGAGCAGTTCTGCAGAAGAGTCACATGAGTACAAGGAAAGACAAATGTTGCTCTCGTTGCAGTGATCTGTTTGTACTGAAGTGTCAAATCAGGGGGCATAGGTCTACATACAGCTGCAGCCAGCAGGGTTGTAGTAGGGATGTTTAAGTTCATAGTCTTTAAGGAAGGGATCCCTAGACATGGCTAGTGTCAATGCAAGGAGGAAGGTGAGGCAGTGATGCTGCAGACCACACAGGCTGCCTCGGGTCCTCTCTGCTGACCTCTGACAGTCCAGAGAAGCAGCTCTGTGCTATTAAAAAAAACTCTAGTCTCCAGAAGGTGCTCAATCATTGTGAGAGATGACAGAGAAATCCAGCGCAAAGCTACACAACACTCTTGATGCTAATCCAGTAACCATGTCACTTACTCCCCAATTTAGTACTAAACATCCACTGTAGCATCTAACGCGTTTGCCTGCAGGGGAGGGAAAAACTGAGTTCATCACAAATCTCCGAGGTGAGCTGGCACAGCAACATCCTCAGTTGTGTCTCCAGGACACAAGAAGGATATAATCTAAATCTTAGTATTTTCAAGCAGTGTGACTATCACAAGATTCCCAAATATGACAGTTTGATCTATTTAAGCCCTTCTATGACTTGTGCATATATAGGTAGCAAAACTATAAAAGGAACAAGGTGAAGAGACACAACTATGGAGAACATTTAAGACAGCAGTAACATTCATCCCTCTGCCAGAGTTCATGTTATTACTTAAAGGTTTAATCCAGAGATAACAGGATTAAAAACCTTTCTAACTAACCAACGAGTGACTGTTAGCTAGTTAAATGTTTCTGATCTATAACATATGGATTACCCAAATCAGATATTTTTCTTCACTTTACTGTTCTGGTCATTCAAACCTAGTTACAGGCTTGCCTGAACATGAAGCTCGCATTTTTAAAACACAGACTATGTAGCTTAAGTATCTTACAAAGTATATGTCTGTGACTGGCACATCATCTTCATCCGAAGCCTGGCTGGCTGGTTCTGAGGCCTGACTGGCCGTTTCCACCTCTATTGTAGCCGTGGATGTTACAATGGCACAGGCTAAAGAAGCTGCCTCCCTGAAAAAGAACAAAGAAAAGAAGACAATCTGTCTTAATTAAAAAGGGACAAAGTGGAAAACACCCAATATATTAGAGGAGCTAAAAAAGGTTCAGCTGAAAATCCCGAAGTCATGGTCACATGATACAGACCAATGCTGTTCCATTGATCTAGCTGGGTAAGGAATTAAACTATTAGTGAAATGTGTCATGACTCATGAAGAACGTTTGTCCCCATGCATCTCAAAACTGAAATGAAAAACCAGCACTCCTGCCCGCCACCACCTGGCTCCAAGTGCCACAACTATCCACCACCCAGGTGGGCAGCTCTGAAGCAGCCCATGTCAGAGGACTATATGCTGGAATCAGCATTTCCTCATGACCAACAACAATGGAAGCCTCCAAAGACCCATTTACTTCCCTGTATCCATTTACCCTTTATCTTCTTCCGGAGCCACAATCTCAACGTCACACTTTGTCTCTAGTTCTACATTTATCTGCTGGAGCTCTTCTTCAACCCGATCTTCCTCATGTGACCTGCAAAGGCAAGGGGAAGAGAACCCATCTGCTCATTTCCACATTGTGTATGTTTACAGTGATATTTAGGGTCAAGTTTTCAATCATCCACAACCAGCCTGAGCCATATAAGCTGTCCTTCCCTGTGTATCACACACCAGTTACAAACAAATGCCACAATTGTCCCAGGATAAATTATTTTATCCTCAGACAAAGTGCAATTGTTCAGACATCCATCTCCACTGTTCCAGGATACACCCTAAAAAGATTTATGGGATAAGAGGTACTAACAGTTTATCCTGGGCCATTGCAAAGAGCATCTGAAGGGTTATCCCAAGATTGCATCAATGGCAGAAGAGTGGCAGTGCATTCAGCCACTCACTAAACCCTGATTAGAAGGGCAATGTGTGTACATGCCAATCCTGGGACATTTCTGTTCCAGGACAAGCACAGGCACACCTCGTTCAGGGACAAATGCAACATCTGTTCCTAGTGGCCATCACCAAAAGCTGTCCATGGTGTGCTTGTTTTTTGAGCATACCACTGAGAGGTACCCCATGTTGCTTTGCACAGTCTGCTTAAGAATTAGTCCATGGATGACTCGTCTCTTCCTGTGTTGCTTCTACTTCTGCAGGCACCAGAACAAGGAAGCAGGATGCAGCAAGGCCTCAAGCAGCATTGTGTGATTACCCAAGGCAGCATCCTGTGTTTGAGGACTGCAGCACCCAGACAAGTTCTACAAACACTGCAGAAAGAGGAGGGCTAGGAGCTGAATGCAGGATGGTCAGCCTCATGCCCAGAAGTTCAACAGCTTCCAGGCTTAACTGGACTGCTACTAGAAGTCAAGTTTAGAAATTGACTGTATAGCTGGATGGGCTTGAGGATGATCTTACAGTCAGCCCTAACTGTTGGTGTAGACGGAGCCTATTATTTTCTCCTCCGTTCCAGTGTTCAGTCTTCAATACCCAATCATAGGTCAGACTAATCAGAGCCTCACACGCTGCAGTCGGCAGCACAACTTAGTGGATCTGGTCTGGCCTTGGTACAGGCACCTAGCAGCTTGTTGCAAAAGTAATAGCTTGTGACCATCCACCTGCAGTACTGCTGATAACAGATATTTGACTACCTCAGCTTTTGCAATCAGAAACAGGAGTCAGGATCTCCCTAGTGGTTGATCTTTTTAGACAGTTTTTGACACCCTAACTTCCCAGATCAAGGAGTCAGGCTTTTCCAAGTTTTATTTTCCAAGAAGTTGAGAGGTAGATAAAAGAGAACAGAAGCAGCAAGACTAGCTGGATCAGGCCAGCTGACAACATGAAAACCTGTACTTCATCCCATTTTCCTGTTGGCTGGGTGACAGACGGAAGCTGTTTGCCACAGGAGAAGGAAGCAGAGAATAGCTAGCCCATGGGAAGCACCTGGCTAGCTCTTCACTTTTAGCGCTTCAGGCTGGCCAAAGCCCTTTGGCCTTTGTGGTTCCTGATTTGCCAACACTGTTTAAGTATTAAAGGGTTAACATATGCTTTAGTCTAGACTATAAATGCCTACCCCAGGGAGAGCCACATAACTTGTGGATTTGTCTTCAGTTTAATATTTCATAGTACTCAAGTCATTGTCTACTTGAGCAAGACTTACAGAATAGCTAATTTGTTTTATGGCCCTCATGGGAAGGAACTGGCAATGTCTGCTAAGTAATGGACACGAGTGGGAGAAAAGTTGCATTTAATGCCCTGGATTTGCTAGAGGTACCAAGAGATGATACCATGACGGTTCCTGGTGCTTCCCTTGACAGTGCTTGTGTCAAGCTCAGATATAATACAGCATGAGCGCACTTTTTAGGAAGTGGAGGCTGCAGAGCCAGCAGATGGAGCTCTCACACAGTTCTACTGGATCATCAACTCAGCAGCTGGGCTTTGCTGTTTCTTGCAGTGGCGCGTTAAAAAAAACCCCAAAACCAGGGAATTCTGCATAAGATTATAGTAATTCAGAGGTATGACACTACAGAATCATAGAAAATCAGTGTTGGAAGGGACATGAGGAGGTCATCTTGTCCAACCCCCTGCTCAAAGCAAGACTATGGGGATCTGAACAAACTAGATAAGTTCCCTTTCATGTGCTAAGGTATGTAATTTCACTGAAATTCATGCATTAATAACTTGGTATTTGCAGCCTCTTTTCACCAGAAACGTAAACATGCTCTGTACAAGGACACTGTACTTTGACTCCCTTATGATAACGCACACAGGCATCAGCACTACAGGGGCAAACAGACCCCAAAATTAAGGCCCACAGTTTCAAACGCTGTCTGATCCAGCTACAGGTGTCTGAATTCGGTGGGGGAAGGTGGCAGGGGCATTTTGCACCTGGAAAGTAACCGCCCTCCCCTCCCCAAGAGGAGCTGGAGTGCTCAAATACATCCATTCATGCCAGCTGCTATTGTGGGTCCACAACACTCTTCTGTACGAGGCCCTGGCATCTAGCAAACCAGCACCCAAAATGAACCTGCATAGTTATATGGACAACATTCAAGAGCTTTTGTCATTCCTAATAAATCTGAGAAACGATTGTTAAAATGTTATGTCAGGACCTTGCCCAACTTGATTATTAGAGACCAGGGTAAGACCCTGAGCAGTTTATCCTATATTACCTACCGTAGGGTTCTCAGTCTCCTACAAAGCCAGCCCACCAGAGACAGGATAAGGAAGCAGATGGATCTTTGACCTGGCCCCCATCCCCATCTGATAATTCCTGTATAGCGCTGTGCAGGCAAACACTGAAGCCCCCCACAGCAGAAGCCGCATTTGAAAACTGACCTTTGACTTAGCCAAGTAAGTTGGGGGCAGAGCCAGTACCAGAACAGATTTTTGACTCCAATTCAGTGTGATCAATGTTACTGCCACAAGTAATTCTGTACAGTTGCATGACGTTAACATCAGATCCAAGTAAAGATAAATACATAATAAAAGGTTCTTTGCTCCATGTTGCCATGAGCTCTAGGCCTTTTATATTTTTTCCAGTGACATTTAGCATAACTTCTGCAGGTGCCAAGAGCAAATATTACCCACAATGAACTTGAGCAGAAGATTTTAAGAAAAGAATCACTCGATATATCTGCATAGCATCCACCACCACTCTATCTAAGGCAACAGACTGCTCGTAAGAGAGATGTGCCAGCTTGTAAGACAGTGTGACTGAGTAGCTAGGCACTGGATGAGGACTCTGGATATCTGGTTTCTATCCCTGGCTCTGCCACTGGGTGACCTGGGACAAGTCATTTCACTCACTACCTTAGTTTCTCATTTGTAAACTGAAGGCATTTTAAGATGTTTTAGTTAAAGATGCTCTACGTAATGATTCTTAATTTAGGTCACGGGGAGAAATTCACCCCTAAGCAGGGTAGGAGGGAAGGGAAAAAGGGGGCACTTCCATTTGAGCCTACAATGGGGGGGGGGCAGGAATCGCTTCTTAATTAGTGTTTGGCCATGTTTACTTGCCATGGACAATTGGGTGGGATATCTGCACACCAATTCCCAGAGCACATGGGGAGATCCGGCACATCTTACCTGCCATCCTGCCCTGAGGAGTGCGTGCGCCTCCTGTGGAGACAGATCACAACACAGATTTACCTGACTGGGTGGTAAGAAGAATCTGTCCTCCTCCCTACCCCAAGGGGGATGCTCTATTTAACAGCTGACACTTCTGCCAGCAATAATTAATCCCATCAAAGCCATGTCTGCTTGCTCCCAGAAGAGGTTCAATTAAAATCAGCATTAGCATTCTATGGCACAGCATAGGGAAGTCTGCCAAGGTTCTTAGTGCAAAAGCTAACTAAAGCCAGTCAGCCCTAGGATAACCAGGTTAAGAATGCTGGCCTTACCTGTACCTGGGCTGGTCAGAGGTCTCAGAGGGAGACCGCTCAGGAACAGAGAGAGAAGTTGAAGAGAGCGTTGTTGCTATGGAGGCTGTGGTAGCTTCTTCAAATGAAGGAGGAGTGCAGGGAAGCAGGTCTGGCCTGCCTGCTAGGCCCCCAACCAAGGGGAAGAAGAAGAAAGAGAAAGTCTGAATGAGTTAAAAGCAAACACCACTTGGATATTTCCAACCAGTTCCATGTCACTCTGTTGTACCACCACTGGGATCTACACTCTCACCGGCATTAAACAAATCTTAAACAATATGCACAGGAAGAGTCTGATGGAATTCACAAATCACGCTAGCAATGCTATCCTGAACAGCTCTGACAACGAACATCTCTCCCAACACACAAAACCAGTATGAAATGCTTTGTGCAAGAGTTTAAACTTCACTGGAACCCAAACTGGATTAAAACTCAGACTGTCAGAGATAAAAATCCAAGTGTCCCAAGAGATGAACTGTGTCAAGGTTTCACACAACTACACTATAAAGATATAATACACTTATGAGCCTGAGCTGCCACTGCCTTTGACCATGCTGATCTCATAATAGCATGTATGCAAGTGATGACAAACAATCAGCGCCATCTTTCTCCTGGCAAAGGTAAGGTCTGGTCCATTATAGCTGTACCTGAACACCAACGGATTTATCTTCCATATCCCCAAGTCTCTTCCTGCAAACAGTACGCAGTTCAAGAAGCCAACTGAACTGTTAATGAACCGATGCCAAATGGCAATAATCAACTTGCAGCAGGGATACGAGTGACCATTTTTGCTGTAGATCCCATTTGGTGGTGGCTCCCTCTACAAGCAGAGCAGGGACTCCACCCTCCTCAAAGCCAGTCCTTCAGGTTGATCATCCAATATACTAGTTGCTAATACTGACAAGGCAATATCTGTCTTACCTTCCCCCCTGTCTTGGTTAAGTTTAGCACCTGCAAAGCACAGCAAGAAATGGAAAGCTGTTGTCAAGGGAAACTTGCATATGGTGCACACTGGGGGAACTGAACAAGTTGAGGGGAGGATGCTAAGAAACAGCTACGCAGAGCTAGGGGAGAAAGGGGAACCACACAGCTGCCCACCACCAACCCAAAATCACTACCTTCATCATCTAGAGTAGGGTAACTTCTGGCAGCACGTAGATCATACTGGGCGTCATCCTTTTCCGAGGGGAGCTGGCTAGCTGAAAATGCAGCTGTTGGACCAGGCGTCCTGACAGCTAACAAGGCACTACGTCCTTTCTTAGACGGGGATGATTTTAGAGCTAGAGTGGGAAGAATTAACAAACTGAAATTGCTGTGTCCACCAATGAACCCAACACAAAAGGAACCTTCTTTTTGATAAAGGGAAGATCCCTTAACCCTCAGACAAACTCCCACACAGAGACAGAAGGACTCCTTCCCATGAAGGCCTAGCTTTGGGATGTTGAACCTGATTGTCTAAAGAGCTTCCAGCTCTGAATCAGGACACTGAGGTCCAGCTAGAAAGCTAAGGCAGCTCCGTGGGCTCTATCATTTCCTAGCCTAGGCCTGAATTGTAATGGAGAGAGCCCAGTTCCTTGACAGAGTTAAGTCATGTAGGGAAGGGTGACAAGAGAAACACAAGGTCCTCTTAGCAAGTGTTCATCAGCTACACCTTCACACTGGATCTCTGGATGGTAGCATTTTAGGACATTTACATATGCCTGCTCTAAAGAATCATCTGTGATGACAAAAAAAGAACCAAAAGAGCTGTGTAACCTCAGTAATACCACACAACTGTGACACCTTAGAGCAGTGTTGCCAACTGGTAGCCCATGGGCTGCATGTGGCCCATGAGGGGTTAAACTGCAGCCCCCTCCAGGGTCTGTTGGCACAGATGCTGGAGCCCCCATGTTGGCGTAGCTCTAGAACCCAGGGGGGTGACGCTGCTGCTCCACGCCTTTGCCCACTGCTTAATTCAAGATCTTTGGCTGTCACTGGCAACTCAAACTGGCAGCAGGAAAAAGAGCAGGCAGTGGTAGCATTCACCCCCTAGCTTCTGTAGCTGTGCTGACAGGCTCCTGCCCCACTGCCAGAGGTGGGTCATTTAGCTTGCAAGAAGCACTGTGGTCTGGATCCAGTTCAGAGCCAAATAAATTGGACAACTCTGGCAGAGTATAGGTCCTTCTGGTAAAACTCATCTAATCTCACCATAAAACTGTTTTCTAAAATGGAAGGGGTGACTGGGGAAGTCAACAGTCCTCTGCCTTTTGTGAACAGAGCAACAAGGGTACTTCTTCTACATGACAGTTTGCAAAGGAAGTGGCAAGACTGGGAAACATTGGTGTCCCTCCCCCACATCTTGAGAAAGATTGTAGCTGGAGCCCCAAGGCAGTGAATCTATGGGAACTTACAGGAATTCTTTCGAAACACTGTGTTGGTCATGAATTTGAAAAATCTCTCTGCATAAAAGCTGGGTCTGTGTACTGATACAGTGTCCTAGAAAAAAGGAGAAGTGTTCACAGTTATGCTTAAAAACCATGCCAAAGTAAGGAATTATTAGTATGGCCAATCAGGATTTTGTTTTTTATTTCATCATTTAGCACTGATAAGTGCCCTAAAATGGAAAGCCTTCACTGAAATGATCTGATTAATGCTATAAATAAGCTTGGAGCACTGCCTTTACTTTGATTGCATTTTGATTTTGTTCTTGTTATAATTTCATGCTAGGTTTTGATAATTTTGCTGCTTAGAGGGTACCTAGATTTTTGGAGGAAGCAATAGCCTGATGATATGAATAAAGCCAGAGGCAATCTCATGCAGTTGTTGAAGTTTAAAGCACACCTGGATACAGCAGATTTTGATGTGGTCACAAAATTTAGCAACAGAGCATCAATGCACTTTAATTGTTCTAAGTATCTCATTTCATGAGCTAAGGCTGAAGCTCTCTCTCTCAGAGCTCTGATGTTCCATTCTGTTACCATGTCTCTGGAGCTCCATAAACTGTGTTTGCCTTGACCTTTAATAGGAGATTTACACAAAAGTTAGGATGCGTTTCTGAAGAACCAGTAGTTTCACACCTGAAGTCAACCTTCTGTAGCAGCACAACCGGCTGCAGCAACAAAGAACGAGATGGCAGGAAAAACAAATGGAAGAGGCTAGTTTAGCAAATAATATAGTGGAGCTGAAACAATCACCACCAAGGGACCAAACCCCAAGACCTGTACCATATACAAGGGTACATATTGTGTGTGTGTGTGTGTGGGGGGGGGTTATGCACACAGCATATACATATATAGGTTACATAGAAAATGAGGGTTGGAAGGGACCTCAGGAGGTCACATCTAGTCCAACCCCTACTCAAAAGTGGGACCATCCCCAAATAGATCGTTCCAGCCAGAGCTTTGTCTAGCTAGGTTTTGAAAACCTCCAAGGATGGAGATTGCACCACCTCTCTGGGTAACATGTTCTATTGCTTCACCACCCTCCTAGTGAGACAGTTTTTCCTGATATCCAATCTAAACCTCCTTGCTCCAACTTAAGCCCGTTGCTTCTTGTTCTGTCATCTGCCACCACTGAGAACAGTCCAGCTCCATCCTCTCTGCAACCACCCTGAAGCGAGTTGAAGTTTGCTATCAGATTCCCACCCCCCCAGTCTTCTCTTCTATAGACTAAATAAGCCCAGTTCTCTCAGCCTCTCCTCATATGTCATGTGCCCCAGCCCCCTAACCATTTTCATTGCCTTCCGCTGGACCCTCTCCAACTTGTCCACATGCCTTCTACAGTGGGGGGCCCAAAACTGGACACAATACTCCATATGTAGCCTCACCAATGCAGAACAGAGAAGAATAATCACTTCCCTCAATCTGCTGGCAACTAATACAGCAAGTATGCTGCCAGGCGTCTTGGCAACAAGGGCATACTGTTGACTCAAATCCAGCTTATTGTCCACTGCAACCCCCAGGTCCTTTTTCTGCAGAGCTGCTGCTTAGCCAGTTGGTCCCAAGCCTGTACCGGTGCGTGGGATTCTTCCATCTTAAAGACTTTGCACTTGTCCTTGTTGAACCTCATAAGATGCGTTTTGGCTCAATCCTCCAATTTGTCTAGGTTATCACATTAGGGCCTACCCTCCAGTTTGATGTCATCTGCAAACCTGCAGAGTGTGCACTCCATCCCATCTTCCAGATTGTTAATGAAGTTATGCAATATTTTATTATATTTAAAATATATATATTTTATATATTAGATAGTTTATCCAACACAATATCCTTTACACACACACAATAGTGCAGTGGAAAAAGATGGTGAAGGACAAGCTTGGTGTATTACAGCTAAAACATTGGCGTGGTGTGATCTAAGGGAATTACTACTTTGATAGATGTTTAGGAGTGAAAAGTTACTCCTTTCCATTGTTTTCAAAACTGTATCAGATAATGCACTACAAATAGCATGGACTAGAACATCATAAATAAAAGCAGTGCATAGAATCCTACAGTCAGCTAGCTAAGAGCAATTCTTGCTCAAGATTTTGAGCACTGAACACTTACCCCATCATGGACAAGGGCCTTCCAGGTGTGTTCTAGCTTCTTGATGAACCTAATTTAAATAAAAAGGGTGGGGGCAGAAAGAGAATTGGATAAATGTGTTCCCTCCCCTTCCTGCCAAACCATCCTTCACACTGCCCTACAGCAGAGGCCTTAGTGAACTTTTCTTGTTCTCAGAATGCAACCTGCCTCCAGGCAAGACAGCAAGGCTGATGCCTCTTAAGCAAAGGTTTAGGTCTTTGTAGCTGGAAGGTCAGGATGGCCTGGAACTGCTGGAGGTGGGAGAAGGGGAAGGGGGTGAAGCTGAAGACTTCTGCTTCCTTGCAGAATAACAAAGTACTCTGTTGGAGTGATTTTTCCTATCCTCTGCCACAGAAATAGGAAATTTCCTTAAAAGATTCATTAAACATTAAGAAAATGGATTCAACACCACAGGCTGTTACAGGACTTTGGATGTTACAACTTTCAGCGATGCACTGGACCCGAGTCAGACTGGGATACTCAATGTCAGGGCCCTTCACTTCAGAAGGGAGGGTTTTACGATTTTTCCAAATAGTATTACAAGGTGACTTAACAAAGCTCAGGAGCAGAGCATGATTAAACCACCTTACCTGTATGACTGAAGGATATCTATTATTCCTACATGCAGCAGAAGGCGCTCTCCTTTGCCATTCACAGCTGGGATTCCTCCCATTCTGAAGGGTAAAGAAAACAATGTTAGCACCTATGTAGGAAAGAGCCATATTGTCCTTGGAGACATGCTTTACTTGGGACAGCAAAGCCAGATATCCACATTAAAAGGGGGTGGGGGTCTAATATTCAGCTTTTCAAGAATATTCAATAAGTTTTCATTCATCGCCTGTGAAGTGATGCACTTTGTCCAGATCTATGGCAAGTTTCATACTGCACTTCATTCTGTTATTATGTGCACGTGGCTGTGAACATTATATAAGTGTCTTTTTTGGGGGAGGAAGGGGAGGGGGGTTAGGGTGTGCTTTATAGTGTCAGATGTAATCTTCTCCCTGGGCCAGTCATGGAGTTCTGGTCTTACAATGGGAAAAGGGGTCATACTCAAAAGGGAAGTCCAGGGAAAAGGGAGGAGATACTGCACTGTGAATGCCATCCTTTCAAACATGTTAATTTAAGAACCTCCTGCTCAACTCTTGTGGCTGTACCCTGTCCCAACCAGGTCTTTCCCCAATAGCTCCTCAAGCTTACAGACACCCAAGCCCAGAAAGATAGCAGTAAAGATGCCCTAGGACTCTCTGCCGTCACTCTCAAGACCTTGGTCATTTATATGATTAAAGTAGCTATAGGGGAACCCCAGAGTGGTCTCATTTCTCCACTTCTGAACATAGAACATACTTGGGAATGGCCCAGCCAGGACGCTCTGGTGGCACTTCAAGGAAGTGGTAACCTACAAATATCCCCCACTCCCCAATATACATCCTACCTCCTGCCACACACACACAGGCTGCTGCCTGCACCAAGGAGTAAAATGAGTATTAGCAGAGCCCTTTGCAAGCATTGAACTGTGAGGGCCAAACTACCCTCAGACAAAGATTCACAATTCCTGAAGGAAGTCAGTGGGAACCGAGGGCAGAAACTGAACCTATATCTTTAAGCACAAGTGATTCCCCCCCCCCCCCCCCCCCCCC